TGAGTTCAAGCCCCGCGTCACGCTCTGTGCTGACAGCTCAGAGCCCGGAGCCTGCTTCGGATTCTGTGCCTCCCTCTCTCTCTGCCCCTCCTCAGCTCACACTTTGTCTCTCAAAAATAAACATTAAAAAATTATAAAAAATTGAATAATTCCCGTGGGTTGGGGCTCAGGGGCAGTCCCTGCTCATCTAGTCCTGGCCCTCAGGGGTTTAGGGCAGGGGGAGCCCGGCTGGGACTGCGAGATAGAAGGGGGGTGTGGTGTGGACTTGGCGGTGCTTGGTTGGCACGTGAAAGGTGGGCTAATAACGACTGGCAGGTTGTTGACTCTAGGAATTAGCTGGCCCCGCGAGGGGCCGTCTCTCCCTGGCTGGCAAGTCCCCCACGATGTCAAATGTCACAAAGTACAGAATATGTAAAAAAACCAAAAAACCAAAACACAACCAATTGCTACACAGTGGCCTCTGAATTCCGGACTTGAATAGCTAGCTGTTTAGTGTCATCACCTGAGTGATGACAACACTCCCCTTCCGAGTGTTCAAGCCAGAAACCCTGGGGTCGCCCTTGGTTTCTCGTTTTTGCTCCAACCTGCATCCAATCCAGCAGTAGAGCTGGTTTCTACCTTTAAGATATGTCCAGAATGTGTCCACTGGTGTCCCCTGAGTCGCTAACGTCTCTTACCCGAATTACTGCAAAGCACACCCACACCCCGGCAGGTATCCCGGAGTCTGCCCTTATGCCCCTCCGTGCATCCCCACACAGCAGCCTGGGAGGTCCTGTTCAAACGCAAGTCCTTTTATTGCCCTGCGCAAACCCTCGGCGGCCCGTTTACCCGAGTCAAAGCCAAAGCCCTCAGCGCAGCTTCCAACGACCCCACGATCCACCCCGTTCCCTCTTGACCTCCTTATCACCCATTCTCTCCCTTCCTTGCTCCACTCCAGCCACACTGGCTTCCTGGCCGTTTCTGGAACAGTCCAGGCTCTCATCTGCCACAGGACCTTTGCACTCACTGCTCCCTTCTGTCTGGAAAGCTCTTCCCCAAGACCTCTGCCTACTTCTCTCTACCACTTCCTTCAGGTCACTGCCTTTGCCTTACCTTGTCTGAGAGGTCCTCCCGAGCACGCTGTTTAAATTGTAACCCTTCCCCTTGGATCTTACTCCTGAGCACCCTCCCTGCTTTCTTTCTCTTTCTAGAACGCATCCCCTTGTACCGTGCTGGCATTTTGCTTATTTATTTTATGTGCCTTCTGTCTCTAATAGAAAACCCAATGTGGGTGTGGAGTTCTGTCTGTTTTGTTCAATGCCGTTTCCCCAGTGCCTAGAACATGCAGGTGCTTAAGAAATATTTGTTGAATGACTGAGTAAATTAGCATTTTGTGTAGAGACGTGCTTCAAATAAATTCAATACTGTGAAGTCCGTTTTGAATAAGCATTTAGTTGTCTATTTATGGATTTCTGCTTAGTTCCTGCAAACTGGGTGCACCTTGGTCCCAGCCCTCGTTTTCCATCTGTCTCCCAGCCCTGCTGTCCAGTCAGGTACCCCTAAACCCTGTCCAGATCGAGGAGAAGCTGGTGCCCCCATCTGTGATCCAGCCTGACACAGAGGCCGAGAAGCAGCTGATTCGGGAGGTGAGCCACTGGGCAGGTGGGAGAATGGCTGGCAGGTGGGGCCATCTTGGAGCTCAGAAGGCTGAGGCTCAGAGAGGTGCCATGACTTGTCCAAGGTCATGTCGCTAAGGAGAGTCAGGGCTGCGATGTCAGCTCGGGGCCTGACTCCAGAGTGCAGTCCATTCCAGGTCAGGGCCTGTATGGGGAGAGCAGGGAGGGGGGTGGGGGTGTCTGCAGGAGTCTCTCCTCAGTACCCCAGGAGGAGGTGACTCTGGGTTGCTAGGAGTGGAGAAGGCCTTCCAGGTGGTGGCAGTGGGCTGTCCCCAGGTGCGCGGTATGGGGAGGCCAGAGTGGAAGGGAGTTGGGCCCCTCTGCAGGTGCCAGTGAGCCAGGGGCTGAGAGCTGGGCAGTCCGGGTGGGCAGTGGGGAGCCCCCAGGCACTCATTTGACCAGTGGATATGTGGGGAGCTGGCCTCTCCAAAAAAGCTGTCACCTAGGGGCACCTGGGTCATGCTCCCACATGTGTGCCTTCCAGCATCTCTGGGAACCAGCAGGGCAGGTAATAATAATCCACTGACTTACAGGTGTCGAGCTGATCCCTAGAGGGGGACTTATACAGCCAGACTCGGCAAAGCTTCCTAACTTCCTGTTTAGGCTCTGTCCTGACTGTAGGCCCTGCTGGTTTCTGGAGATTCTTGCCAGTTGAGGGCCCCATTCAGAGACCTCAGCGTGGGGATGGGACATTGGCTCTTTCCCGGTGGAGGCCGGGCAGGGACAGCTCTTCAGGGACAGGGGTCTGGACGCCTCTGCCTCTCGGCTGTAACCTCAGGTGGGATCAGCCCTGGGGCCCCTGGGAGCCCCAGCAGGGCTGTGGGGGCCTGGGGCCCAGCCTCTGGGGGGCAGATCGGGTAAGGCCTGGGAGTCTGAGTCCTGTGAGCTAGAGGACTGGGAGAAATCCACCCGAGTCCCCAAGGGCTGCCCATGGCAGGCAGAGGCTTTTACTCCTCGGGGAGAGGCTCAGTTGTGACCCCCGACGGACTTTGTCCTGGCCCCTGTGAAGGTTCTGGTTGCTCAGGGCTCATTGCCCTTCCTCTGCTGGCCTGGAGGTTCCTGGTGGGGATGTCAGGTCATCTCTGGAGTTCCGGGCCCAGCTCCTGGGGTGGTGCAGGTCGCTGGCCTCCTCCTCGTGGTATAACCCAGCGGACGCTACATCAGAGCACTGTCGCCTGAGGCCACCACCAAGGTTTTTTTCAGGCTCTGGTGTGTCTTCTCCAAGCCCCGCTTGGAGGAAGGGCTGAGGGTGTCTGTCTTCCCTCTCTCCTTCCTGCCCATTTCACTTATGACTGGCATTTATTGAGCACCTACTGTGTGCCTGCAACTGTGCTTTTCTTTCCATTCCAGAGCTAGTCAGGATGTTCAAGATAAGGGGGGTGGCCCCTGTGTGGGGCGGCGAGGGTACCGGGCTGGGGATGGGCCCAGCCACGAGTTGGAGATGTGACTCTGTGGGCTCAGTCTCCCGGCTGCACCAGGAAAGCAGGCGGGGGCGGGGCGGGGTTTGGACCAGAAGAGTCCCAGCGTCCGACCAGCTTTTACCTTCTGCAAGTGCAGTTCTCGGTGGGCTCTGTGACCTCGGGCAGGTTGTTCCAGCTCTCTGAGCCTGTGTCCTCGCCTCTAGAAACGGTGCAACAGCAGCTTTCCTGCTGCTGTGAGAGGGGGAGCCGAGGGGCGTCTTCTCGCCATTGGGCTGTGGAACAGGCACGAGGCAGGATTTGGGGGGCTGGATTTGCCCTCCAGCCCCCTAGCCAATCATCAGCAGGCATTGAGCCCCTGCCGGTGCCGGGCCCTGTAGCTGGAGGTGTGCGTGGGGCCACGGAAAAACGTACTGAGTCCTGGAGTTCTGAGTGCTGGAGGGAACAGGGCATATGTTCTGTGACTGCAGAGGCCTCACACCGAGAGAGAAGTCTGCGGTGCAGGAGGGAGGTGGGGATTGAAAGAGCAAAGTCACCGAGTGGGCGGCTTGGCTTCGGATGGACGCGCCATCTGGAGATGACAGGAAGCTGTGGGCTGGGAAGCGAGGGCATGCTTCCGTGTTCTCAAGAGAGGAAGGGGTGGAGGGCTGCCGCGGTCAGAGAGCGGAAGGACCCAGGAGGGGCACCAGGCCACCTCAGCGGTCCTCTGTGGTTCGGGGTCACACATTTACAACTGGGACTAGAAGTTGGTACTGCCGTATGTGTGCCTATGCGTGCCTGCACGTGCACATGTGTGCTCGTGCATGTAGACGTGTGTGCGTGCATGTGCACGTGTGTGTAGGCATGGGTGTGTGGGCGTGTGTACGCGTGTGCACACATACACCTGCATCTCCAGCCAGGGGTTACCGGTGTGTAGGTGTGACCAGGCTGGGGCCTGGGTTTCACTGGGGCCAGGGCCGTGCTGGGAGGGAGCCGTGCAGGGGGCTGGGCGAGGGAGCCAGGGGTGCTTGCCGAGGGCTGAGTCTCATGTGGGGCCCGGGGGGAAGCTGGGGGCAAGGGCAGGGGACACTGAGAAAGCGGACGGGGTGTAGGAGGTCTCCTCGTGGCCACCCCGCCAGAGAGCTGCATAGTTCTAGGCAGGCCGTGGAACCTCCCTGGGCCTCCAGAACCCTGTGTGCTGCCCTGAGGCTCAAAAGCGTCTCAGATGTGGCCTAGAACATGCAGTCACGGTTTAATGATCCTCTGTCCCCTTCTGTCCCTCCTCCCCGAGAGCCCACATCATAGTGTCTGTACTGTTGTAGAATTCTGTGCTTGTTCTGTGATTCTGGAAGGGTCCTGGCCAGGTGGGCACGGCACAGGAGCTCTCTCTCCCCTAGTGGCTCCGTGACACCCAAGGTCATGTACTGTCATTAGCTCATAACCCCCAGCCCTGCCTGTGGGAGACGTGCATCAGCAGCTGAGTAGTCTGGTTACCGGCCAGCAGTCTGCTCCATGCACTTGCTGGTTCAAGGGTTAGCCACCGAGCCCCTCCTCTGTGCTAGGCGCTGAGGGGAGAGTGCTTGCTGTGTGGCAGGGGAGCTGGACGATAAACCTGTACTCGACTAAATGGAGAGAACCACGGGAAGCTCATGACCCATGCCAAGAAGAAATCAGTGAAGTGACAGAGAGGGTGGTCAGGGAGGGCCTCTGGGAGGAGGTGATACTGAGTTGAGGTCTGAAGGAACAGCTTGCTGGGGGTGGGGGCGCAAGGGCAAAGGCCCTGAGGCAGGAAGGACGTGGGGCTGGGGCTGTCTAGGAATGGACAGTGGCCCGTGTGCCCAATGTGGCAAAAATGAGGTCTAGTCAAGGGGCAGATGGCCCAGATCACTGGGGACTGGGGTCAAATGGAGAAACTTTTGTCCTCTAACATAGGACGCCATTGAAACCTGGCCTAACAGACGGGAATGAGGGTGCCATGTGGAGAAAGTTTTGGGGCAGGGGCAAGAGTGGAGGATGGGGATGGGCTGGGAGGCTCTTTGGACCAGAGCTGACGGTGACAGCAAAGATGGAGGGAGAAGCAGAGAAATAAAAATGTATTTCGTGCTCGACTGCTTGAGAGCTATTTGGCTAAAACGTATTTATTGACCTGCACAGGCCTTCATGATTTATTGCTTTGTGGAAAGATAGATTACAGCCAAATCTTAGATAATTAGCCTGTTAAAAATGGAGAGTGAAGTTCAGAAGGGTTTTCACCAGCCAGTAATCACCCCAGGGTCGCGTAGGCCATTTTAACTCTGTTCTTGTGGTTTATCGGTATTTCCTGGGCTGTTTGAATGACAGAAACACGGAAGGCTGCGTTTCGACCCCCTGATGTGACGCGGCCCCCCCCCCCATATCGCCCCCCACTCCCAGGAGTACGAGGAGCGCCTGGCCCGGCTGAGGGCCGACTACGAGGCGGAGCAGGAGTCCAGGGCCCGGCTGGAGGAGGACATCACTGCCATGCGCAACTCGTATGACGTGAAGCTGTCCGCGCTGGAGGAAAACCTGCGAAAGGAGACAGGTGGGTGGCCAGCTGGCTCCCCTCCCCATTTTACTAACTGACATTTCTACACACTGGGCTCAGTGCTGGGTACTCCTCACCACAGCCCAGCCAGGTAGGAACCACAATTATCCTCGCTTTATAGGTGAGGAAACTGAGGCACAGAGAGGGTAAGTAAATTGTCCGTGGTTACACAGCTGGTAAAGTGGCGTCAGGATTGGAACCCAGGCAGTGTTCTCACCCACGCAGCGTTGCATCTGTGACGCCTTGGCCTCAGGCTGGGTTGACTTATCACCCGTGTTTCACGGGTGAGTTCCTTCCCCCGGTTTCTGTATTTTTCTAGTCTTCTCTCCCTTTTGAGCCTATCTGTTATCCAAGCAAACACACCCCAAAATAAGGGCTCCGTGACTAGTGAGAACTTGCGCCTTGCTAAAGATTTTTGTTGTCTTTTTGACATTCTAGAATGTTCCACCCTACCACTATCATTCAAATACCTGTGCCACCAGGCAACTCAGACCTCCTAGGACACCCCCAAATACCATAAAATCCTTCTTGTATTGATGACAATATTGGCCAATCGTGAGGACCATTTATGGGGCGTTACTGGGTGCCAGGTGCCCCCTCAGTGAGTTAGGATGCACTGAATTCTCACATTGCCAGGGTGCAAACTGAGGCTTGGGGAGCATCAGGACACAGCGACAGAGGAGTGGGTGGGTGTAGTGCCCATGGGTTGGGAGCACTGAGGAGGCCTGTGTGACTGTAGTCTCATGCAGGCTGGCAGACCCAGAGGAGAGGGGAAGGGCAGGTTCTAGCATTTTCTGTCCTTCAGAGCGTTCCTCCAGTCCGCTTTGAACATTAGGCTTCTGAGTGATTTTATTTGCTCTACCCTTCATCCACAGTGTTCACTGAACTCCCACGGGTCTAGTGTATCCTGTGGACGAGAGCCCTGAGCCGGGTGCCCCTGCAGGGGCCCCTCTGGGTCTCGTGTGTGAAGTCTGCTCGCCGATCAGGAGCTCTCAGCAATAGACCTACAGGGCAGTCACCTTATGTGATAAGAGCGGTTCCAAGGCAGGGTGGTAAGAGCCCAGCACCTAGTGGCTGGGGAGGTCAGAGAATGGACAGCTCATGGTGCCAGTCAGGGAAGACTTCCTGGAAGAGGTGAAGGAAATGGGGTGTGAGTTCTGATAGAGATGAGAGGCCAAGATTTGGGGGCCCGGGAGGCTCTGTTAAGCATGTCCCTTAGAGATGGTGTGCGTGGGCCGGCTCCCAGGGGGCCCCTCATCCTACTCTGGAAGAAACTAAAGGGAGTCTCCATTTGCAGAGGCTGTCCTGAAGGCGGGGGTCCTCAAGGCCCAGGGCACGTCCAGGGCTGAGTTTGCCAACACGTCTGAGGACTCACCCACGTTCCACTACGAGATGGCCGTGAAACCCGAGGTCTACTCCCTGCCGCGCACTCTGCCCGGCGAGCACGTCTCCAGGACTGAGGTTTCTCCCAGCTTCGAGGAGCTGCCCGAGGCGGAGACCTCCAAGTCTGACGTGTCTCTGGGGTCTGACAAGTCTTTCGCACTCGAGGAAACCTCCGTGTCCGAGGCCTTCCTGGGGCCTCGGGAGCCCTCCGACCTGGAGTTCTTCATGCCCGAGGTGGAGGCCAAGGGCAGATATTCCCCAGACGAGTATCTCAGCCAGGAGGCTGCGGGGCCCCTGCTGCAGGAGGGGTGCGTCCCCGAGGAAGAGGAACCACAGCGGATCACCCTGGAGCTGTTACCAGGCCTGCACGACCCGTTTGCCGAGGTGGAAGCCAAGCTGGCCAGGCTGTCCTCCACCGTGGTGGCAGCCGAGGTGCCCCTGGCAGACGTACCCAAGGTCCCTGCACAGGTAGCTGATGTCACCCAGGCTCCCGGGCAGAAACTCAGTGGGCAGAGCTCAGCTGGGGGCACACAGGTCGCTGGGCACGGGCAGATGTCTAACCTCTGGGGCCCTGGCCCCCCGCTGCCACCTCTGCAGTGGCTCTGGCTTGGTGGCGGCTCGTGGGCACCGGTGTTCAGGGGTCCAGGAAGGGAGAAGCTCTGTCTCATGCTCTGTAAGCCGGTAGGGGAGGGGGGAGGGAGGCAGGAGGCTTTGCCAGGTGGGCGCCCGTTCTGCTGAGGGAGGGATACCTATTTGGGGGATTTGCTGAGTTGCCATGGTTACGCTGTTTCCAGGCCCAAAGGAGCTGGAGGAGGCCTTGGCTGCCCTCGTGCTCTGGCAGGCTGGGGTCTGCGGGAAGGCAGCTACCAGTCAGGGACCCCCCAGGGATCTGGTGGGGCCACTCTTCCATCCTGTCCCCTTTCCACCCGCTGTGATGTTTTAGATTCCTTTCCTCTTCTCCCCCTTTTGGTCTTTTTCCTTTCCTTTGTTCTTTTCCTTTTCCTTTCCTTTCCTTTCCTTGCCTGCATGTGCATGTACATGCGTGTGCACGTGTGCGTGTGTGTGTGTGTGTGTGTAAAGAGCACAGGCCTTTGAGTCAGACAGACCCGGGTTAAATCCCGGCCCTACCGCTCACTTAGTTATGTGGCCTTGGGCAGTCACCTTTCTGGGCCTTGGTTTCCCCTTCTGTAAAATGGGGATGCTGAAGCGTGTTTCACCCGAAGTATTGCAAGCAGGGAGCACAGGGGAGCATACTCCCTCCCCGTTTCTCTCTTCCCTGTTCTCTCATCTCCTCGCCCCTGCTCCCCACCCATCCCCTCAGCGGTGACAGGCAGGAGGAGCTGGTGGCTTGATGAGGCCTGGGGCTGGGGGTGTGGGGCACTGAAGGGGAGGTCAGGGAGCTGAGGTTGATTCTGGCCCACTGTCCCTCCACCCCCCGCCCCGCCACTCCCCATCTTCCTGCAAGCACCCCTCCCTGACGGATCTGCTGGGGCCCGGGCATGGTGACATTAGGTCTGAAGCTGAGACAGCTGACTACCTCCTGCTCAAGACTGTGAGTTCCCCGCAGGGCCGACCCTCAGGTGGGGGGAGGAATCCCAGGAGCCTGGGTCTTCCTGTGACACTCTGGGCCTCAGTGTCCCCAACCACAAAACAGAGACAATGACCCCAGCCCTCCCCCAGCTTATCAGGGATGGCCTGTTGCAAAGCGGTGTACAAATGGAGGAACCATCCTATCTCTTATTATTGATGTGGTTAAGAGGCCACTGCTTAGCAGCTTTCTGACTCTCCTTGGCCTCAGAAGCCCATCTAGAGCACAGAGGCCCAGTGTGTGCTGAGGGCAGGGGTGTGGGTCCCCCAGGCACTGGCAGGGACTGCCCAGGTCCTGTTTTGAACACTGCTGCTCTCAGACCCCACCCTTTTCTCTTCTGCTTAAGGAAGCACAAAAGGCCACAGGGAGTGAGGGGAAGGCTTTAAGTCTGCCCACATGTGTGGAGAGAGAAAACTATCTGCCAGCCTCTGGACAGGATCACTGGGTAGGAGCTGGCACACTTCAGGTTCTCAGTAGATGGGACACGGGGTGGCTAGGGGAGCCCTGGCTGTAAGGTGACATTGAGATGGGACCCGAGCAGGAGGAAGGGGCCAGAGCAGAGCATCAAGCCAGGGGGGATGGCCTGTGCCAAAGTCCTGTGGCTGGGAACATCTCGACTTTCTCAGCAATGGGAAAATGAGGCCAGAGAAGCAGCAGGGTGAGGGGTGGAGAGAGGCGGGGCGGGGGCGGGGGCGGAGGGTGAGGCAGGGAGAGGCACTGGAGGCCTGGAGGCTATGGAAGCAGGATTTAACTGCAAACGCACTGCGTTTTTTCCCAAAGGTTCTCTTTGGGAAAGGGCTGGGATTGGTACATATTTGGAGAAAACTGCCTGGCTGCCGTGGAGAGCGTGGGTCTTCAGGGGCAGAAGAGCAAGACTGTTTCGGGGTGTTGGAAGAAATGGTGGCAGTAGGAACCCAACTGGGCGCATTTTTGTACAACTGGGTGCCTCCAAACCAGAAGCGATCCATCCCAGATCGTGAGGGACCCAGATGCCGCCATCTGGGATTGAGGCCGCTGTGAGCCGGTGTCCAGGGGCCGTCTTCTCTGCCTCCACTTTGGATTCTCTTTGCGCTCAGGAGGTTGACCAGGGTCCAGAAATGGCCGAGGAGGTGGTGTCGGCAGCAGAGCCTGGCGTAGGGGCCGAGGCTGAGGCCTGGAGGGCCTTGGAGGCTCAGCCTCAGCCCTCGCTGGTCATGACGAGCGTGAGAAGGGACAGTGTGGGCATGGAGGTGGCGGTGCTGAGCGACGACCTGCTGCCCGCCGTGGACCAGCAGCAGGTGCTTGCCCGGTAAGTGCTGGTGCTTGGGGCTGGCGGGACCCCGTGGCGGAGCAGGACGGAGCTATGTCCTGGGCATGGGGGCGGGGGTGCCCAGAGAGTCTTCACTGAGCCCCCATCCAGATCCCCTCCTGACCGAGGCCGGACACGCCCCGATCCTCTGTCCAGGAGCAGAGGGGCAGGGATGGTGCTGATCAGCGGGGCGGGCAGGGCTCTGCTCGGGGAGCCGCACGGACGCCACCACAGACTCCATCAGGCACCTGCTCCAAGAGGAAGGGAGGGGACTGTTGTCTGCCTGGCATCCGCAGGGCCTGGCTATCAGGTTTCAGGAATCCCAGGGCAGGATGATGCAGGCTTTCCTCAGCTCCCAGCGCGCCTCCAGTGCCCTCCTGATGTCACACCTAGGACTGGCCACCCCAAACGCCCTCAGCCGCTGCTGCCTGGGGAGCTGGGCTTTCTTCCCTCGGTGCAAATCACTTAACATTTCCGAGCCTTGGTTCTCACTTCTGTGAATGTGAATAATGTCAGGCCCACCTCTGTGACAAAGTCAGCACCATGGTCAGGGGCTCAGCCTCCTCCTAGTGGTGGCAAACTCCATCCCACAGGCCACAGTTCAGACGTGAACTGAGCAGCAACTACGTGCCGGGCACCAGGCGCAAGGAAGAACGAGCTGCTGACTTGGCTTTCAAGGGGCTCACGGTCCAGGGGGAGGCAGATACCCAGGCCCAGGGAGGGCCAGCTTCTGTAGCAAAGAAAAGCAAGTGGTTGTGCAGTTGCCTGCCTTGGTTCCCGTCCGCCTCCACCACTACCTCCCTCTACCTCCTGGGGCCAACTTTAAGCCTCCCTGTGCCTCGGCTTCTTGAGAAGCTCGTCACGAGGGTCCAGGGAGACACTGCCTGCAGAGACCCAGCTTAGGGCACCAAGGGAACACTCAGCACATGTGACGGTGTTCAGGGTGTGGTCTGGAGGATGGTCAGGGAAGGCTTCTTCTGTTTCTTCGAGTAGTTTTGCTCAGCTACACCTGAGTGAGGTTTGCAGGACAGATGCCTCAGGGTGGCCTTTGGGATACAGGGCACAGCCCCAAGCAGCACGAAAGTGCAGCGCAGAGGACAGCCTGGCTGTTTGGAGGACAAGCAGCGAGTGACACTGGAGTGAGTTGGTTGGGGGGCCGCAGAGATGATGAAGTGCCTGCCTGGATGCGCTAAATGTTGTTCCCATCTCAGGGCTACTCTAATCGTGCAGGTCGCCGGGGCGCACGGCTGCGAGCCTGCTGTACTGGGGGAAAACCATGGGCCCTGGGAGGCCCCTGGCGGGTGGCGTGTCGGTTGGCTCTGGATCCACAGGGAGATTCTCGTCTGTGCTGTTGTGCAGTTGAGCGCACGGGCTTGGACTTGGGCAGATTTGCTTGGACCCCTGGTTCCGACCCTGGCCAGAGGCTTGGCCTCTCTGAACCTGTGTCCATCTGTGCGACGGGTTGTTGCATGGACTCTGAGATGTCCCGCTGGACAGCAAGGGCGCGGCGATGGCCAGATACCGTCACGTGTGCTTTCTTCTCTGTGCCCGGCAGTTTGCAGCTGTTGGAGCAGCAGGTGGTCGGCGGGGAGCAGGCCAAGAACAAGGACCTGAAGGAGAGGCACAAGCGGAGGAAGCGGTATGCGGACGAGCGCAAAAGGCAGCTGGTGGCAGCCTTGCAGAACTCGGATGAGGACGGCGGGGACTGGGTGCTGCTCAACGTCTACGACTCCATCCAGGAGGAGGTGCGCGCCAAGAGCAAGCTGCTGGAGAAGATACAGAGGAAGGTGAGGCCCCAGCCCTGCCCGCCCCACCCCGCCCGCGGGCGTTCACAGTTCCCGGCCTGCCGTGGAAGCAGTCACAGCGACAGACCAGACGTGTCTGTGCTGGGAGGGCGTGTATGACACAGAGCACAGCAGAGAAACCAGAGGACAGTGCCAGCCGGTGGGAGTGCCGTGAAGAGAATACTAGGGGAGAGTGGCTTTATTTTTATTTTTTCATTTTTTAAAGGTTTTATTTATTTATTTATTTGCTTATTTATTTTTATTTTTTAATTTAATTTTTTAAAAATTTACACCCAAATTAGTTAGCATATACTGCAACAATGATTTCAGGAGTAGATTCCTTAATGCCCCTTCCCCATTTAGCCCATCCCTCCTCCCACACCCCCTCCAGTAACCCTCAGTTTGTTCTCCATATTTATGAGTCTCTTCTGTTTTGTCCCCCTCCCTGTTTTTGTATTATTTTTGCTTCCCTTCCTTTATGCTCATTTGTTTTGTCTCTTAAAGTCCTCATACGAGTGAAGTCATATGATTTTTGTCTTTCTCTGACTAATTTCACTTAGCATAATACCCTCCAGTTCCATCCACGTGGTTGCAAATGGCAACTTTTCATTCTTTTTGATTGCCGAGTAATACTCCATTGTGTATATATACCACATTTTCTTTATCCATTCATCCATCGATGGACATTTGGGCTCTTTCCATACTTTGGCTATTGTTGATAGTGTTGCTATAAACACGGGGGTACATATGTCCCTTCAAAAGAGCACACCTGTATCCCTTGGATAAATGCCTAGTAGTGCAATTGCTGGGTGGTAGGGTAGTTCTATTTTTAGTTTTTTAAGGAACCTCCATACTGTTTTCCAGCGTGGCTGCGCCAGCTTGCATTGGCACCAACAATGCAAAAGAGATCCTCTCTCTCTGCATCCTCGCCAACATCTGCTGTTGCCTGGGTTGTGAATGTTAGCCATTCTGACAGGTGTAAGGTGGTATCTCATTGTGGTTTTGATTTGTATTTCCCTGATGATGAGTGATGTTGAGCATTTTTTCATGTGTCGGTTGGCCATCTGGATGTCTTCTTTGGAGAAGTGTCTATTCGTGTCTTTTGCCCATTTCTTCACTGGATTATTTTTGGGTGTTAAGTTTGCTAAGTTCTTTATAGATTTTGGATACTAACCCTTTATCTGATATGTCATTTGCAAATATATTCTCCCATTCCGTCTTTGCCTTTTAGCTTTGCTGATTGTTTCCTTCGCTGTGCAGAAGCTTTTTATTTTGATGAGGTCCCAGTAGTTCATTTTTGCTTTTGTTT